GTATGCGTAATCACGCCAATCAGTCTGCGAGAAAAAAAGTCATTAACAGTCTGATACCGGCAGATTTAGAGCACCAATAGACAACATAACTGTCACAAGACATGTAGTTTTCATAAAATAGCTGTATGCAGTAACCTTAGAAGTACCTAATCAGATACTGTAGGTCAGAATACACAAAATATTCCACAAAACACTAAAAACTTATATATATATATATATATATATATATATATATATATATATATATATATATATATATATATATATATATATATATATATATATATATTTTATTAAATATTTAGATATTTTAAATAAATAAATACATTTGATTCACTAAAGCATGTATTACAAAAACTAACATTGCTGAAAAAGTTGACCCCTCCGATCGTCAATGTATAATTCGCACCCTGACTATATACAGTATTTTTCATATTATTTCTCTGTTTTATTTTGGTCTGAGCATCACAAGACCATAAATGATAAAAAAGGAACTGAAAACTACTAGGAAAAATATGTAATTTAGTCACTCTAATAGCTTGCAAGCTTGCGACCAAACAATCAAGCATTTCAATCTCAACTCTGCCTGATAGACATGCACTAAGCAATGTGTTACAGTTCTGTGAGAATGACTCTTTTATGAATAATGACTTCACAGGGGGTGTCCAGAGGGTTAGCCATCCAGAGGTAATCACTCAGAACAGCCCAGTGTGAGGCTCTCACTGGCCTCCACTCATCTTTAGATGTCTGTGTGCGCCCATGAATATGTGATTGTGTGTGGAAAAAAGTAATGATCAGAAATTTTAGAGCACGCTTGTGTGCGTTTCTCCAGGATATGCATTAATAGACAAACTCTAGTTATTCTGAGAGGACAGCATAAAGGTTTTGCTGATGTATTGCGTAAATATATCATATAAAACAAAATGACATATCACAAAGTCACATATCACACAAAATAAGATACAGCATGAGCATTAAATCACATAAAACATACACTAACTGACAAAAGTCGTCACCTGTCCAAGTTTTAAGAGCAACAAATAATAACTTGACTTCTAGTTGATCATTTGGTATCAGAAGTGGCTTATATTAAAGACAAAGGCCTCTAGATAACGCTTATTTTAACTAAATAAATTATGATAATACGTTGATTTTTAATTATTTAATTAAGACAGTAAGGTCTGACTTTGCATTAAACAAAAGTCTTGTCACTGAACTGAAATATATAAAGTCATGGTGCAGTGGAAAAATAATGAAGATTGTGTATGACTTTCGTGAACTTGAAAGACTGCATCCATACATCTCTGCAATGACTCAATTAACTTATTAATAAAGTCATCTGGAATGGCAAAGAAAGCGTTCTTGCAGGACTCCCAGAGGTCATCAGGATTCTTTGGATTCATCTTCAATGCCTCCTCCTTCATTTTACCCCAGAGAAGCTCAATAATGTTCATATCTAGTGACTGGGCTGGCCTATCCTGCAGCACCTTGACCTTCTTTGCTTTCAGGAACTTTGATTTGGAGGATGAAGTATGAGAAGGAGCGCTATCCTGCTGAAGAATTTGCTCTCTCCTGTGGTTTGTAAAGTAATGGGCAGCGCAAATGTCTTGATACCTCAGGCTGTTAATGTTGCCATCCACTCTGCAATTCTCTCGCATACTGAATGTAACTCCAAACCATGATTTTCCCTTTACCAAACTTGACTGATTTCTGTGAGAATCTTGGGTTCATGTTGGTTCCAGTAGGTCTTCTGCAGTATTTGTGATGATTGAGATGCAGTTCAACAGATGATTCATTCTGTCACTTTTCCAAATGACCAACTTGAAGTCAAGTTATTACAACTGGTATCAATTACAAGACTTTTGTCAGGTAGTGTATAAGCCATAAGATGTATCCTTTCCAGTTTTGAATGGAAAATTGGTACCTGTTAGTTAGTGAGCTAGTGATCTACATAAAAAAAAGAAAAAAGTCTGAAAGATCAACGTAAGTGAACCAACCTTACTTTTAACAAGGCTCAATTTCCCAATCCCACAATGGTATTCTGGGGCAGTGAACCATCGCACAGATGAAGAATTCATTTAACCTTTAAAGGAATGAGAAGTGATGGAGCAAATTATACACGTGGCCTTAGGATCCTGTCTGTTAAGCATGTGATTAAAGAAAAACAACAGCTTCTAATTACTGGTCCATCAGCGGCAGGAGAAACAAGTAGCTGCATTTGACTTGGTTAAAGGTCAGCGTGCTGTTTTCTTATCCAACTACATCTAAAAATGACTTAAAGTCGAATGTTTTTCTACCTCTTGAACTGTATGTCAAATGTAAACACGAAATACATTTGCTGTATATTTTGCTAGCTGCTCACTGCTACATGATCACTAGCCTGTGACAGAGCATCATTGTATTTTAACTACCAAAACAAATTGGCTGGAAGCAGAGCTGGTGAGATAAATAACGCATTGAGAAATCTGCTCGATTTAATTATACTCATGCCTGAAATGTGCAAACATTTAAGAGAAGTCCTTGTGCGCTGTTTAGACTGCTTTGCCTGCCAAATAGCTCCACGTGTCACGAAAACAAACCTAAGTGATACTTCCTCCATGATGAGAGTGTGATATTTTCTCTGTAAATAAAGAGCCATTTGAAAGAGCAATTTGGGCTTCTGCAAGGAGAGTTCCTGCTGCTCTAATGGAGGCTGGTGAAGATGCGAGCCATGGGAGTGTCTGTACTTAATGGCGTACTATAGAAACCATGCCACAGAAAAGCCCATAGGCAACACCTCATTTTATTTAAATCAAGCAATTGGCACATGCTATTTAATGCTGGTGTTTTGATCGACCTATTGCACCAGTCAAAAGGGTCGAAGATGTGGAAAAATACATTTTATGATCAGCAAGTTACCATCAGTTCTCATAATTTGTCAATATCCATTGCCTACCATTGACCACCATGTTATAGTGAGACAACAGCATTTATCTACACTTATCTGAGCAAAATAATAGTAAGTGCTGCGTTTATTGCATCTGCTTGTGCACATTAACATTCATTTGAACTTTATCCAGAGCAAGAGTGGCTCTCAGCTTTAAGTACAGGCTGTTATAATTACATTTCAGCACCATGGACAGCCCCAATTGCTAGCACATTGAGGAGACTTCACATTGAATAACAGGTCACTTATGCCCAGAGACTGTATAATTGTAATGCCTTTTTTTTTTTTTTTTTAAATTGTCATTCCTGGAAAGAGAAATTCACAGCCTATGGCACACACACACATTCACACACCTCTAAGAAAACAGGTAATGCATTTCCTAGCATACACTGTTATCGTGATCGGCAAACGCATTAGGAAAGAGCATGATTGCATCCAACTGGAACAAACGCAAGACTCGAGCATGCATATGTTGCAAAATGTGGTATTAAATAATTGTTAAACATTGAATAGATAATTAGAAACTGAAATAATAAAAATAATAATATTGTAATAAATAATAAGTTTATCTCTTGTAATTGTCTCAGAATTTACACTTTTTTTCTTGTTATTCATTTTTTCGATCTTATAATTTTCTGACTTTTATTTTTTAGAATTCCAAGTTTGCATCCTGCAATTTTTAATCTTGTAATATCTAACATTTCAGAGCAAAAGAATTCTAATATATATATATATATATATATGCTTAGAAAAAAACTAAGTATTTCTGGAAATAATTCTGTATTGTGAAAAATAAAGTGAGCAAGATATAAATAAACTGAGATATATTTTATTTAAAAAGCTAGGAACTCATATTTTGAGTTAGAAACTCTTTATAATTCTTACTTTTTTGTTAGAATTGGTATTTTTGCTAGATCTGAGTTTCTCAATACTCTCACAATTATATATTTCTAAATTGCATGTGTGTTAAGATTTACTGATTTTAAATTAGTCATTTTTTAAAATATTTTTAATGCATGGTTATAAATATCTATCTAGCAGTTATTAATATTTAACAGCTTACATGGTGGTTTATTCAAAGTTGAAGTGTACCCTGAAACTTTAGTAAAACTGTATAACCACTCAGGAAAAACCATGCGCATCTGATTAGCATGAGATAAGAACATTCTCTGAAACCAGTGGTTTAACAGGGCACACACACACACACATACAGGTCTGCATGAGGATGATGCCTCAACTGCTCCCCAGTTTGTGTTTGGTTGTCAAGGAGATTGTCAGACTCTATGAACAGCGCTGAGCCAAGTACATAGTGTTCTCTCATTCATCAGACATGCATTCCCCGTGCTCTTTTGTTCTATTAAACACGATGTCTGCTCTCATTTGACTTTTTTTCTACAGTCTGACAACACAAATATGCATTTGTGGACTCCTTTTTACTGACAACAAAATGCACAAACTATTAGACAAACTTTAGCAGAGAGCCTTTAAAAGTGCGTACAGCTATTTAACTCAATGCTTATGCAACACAAAGCTTTGTTTTATACATGCAAATATTTACATATAACTGAAAAATGAAACTGTTTAAGCCATACACAGGTACATACACACAGCATGTGTTTAATTTAATGTAGTAATAAAATAAGAACAATGATAATAAAATATTGTGTTGAATACCTATAATAAACATATAATAAACATTCAAAGTAGTATGTGTGTTAAATGTAATAGAGTAATATGATAAGAGCAGTGATTATAAGAACTTAATTCTATATAATACAGAACATTCAAAGTCATTTAAAATTAGTATTTTTTCATATAGCCTGTATATATATATATACACTTATGATCCTCCCTCTATGCAACGCGTGTCTCCTATTGGGCAGTGTGGAAATGCCCCAGAATGATCCACCGCGCCAAAGAAACTGGTGCGCCTTTGCGCGTAGGATATGGACTTGGACGCATCGGTCTCTCTCCATTCCCGTACGCATCAGCTGCACTCAGCAGCTCACATGGTGCCCCAATGAACTCTCGCCCTCACGCATCGTCCAACATACAATGGATTAACAGGAAAGACATGAATGTCCGCACAGAGGACGGCATCAGCCTGTGCCAAAGGGCTCTCCAAATAGTGACAGAGCTGTGCCTCGCCGGGCACGTCGACCGGGAGAAATGCGCGGATATATTTCCACTGGAGAGCAACATACCAGGTAAAGGAAGTTCAGGTAAATTTAACGTAAGCAATGTTGATTATTCTTTCACAAACACATGATCTCCTGGATCGTTGGCTAGACAATACGCGAGACTTTTTTTCTGAGCATGAGCGCGAAGAGGAGGAAAGTTTGAAAAGTTCGCTCGCGCGCTTAGAAATATTTTTAACATCCATAACATTACGTGAAATCAGTGATCATACTGGTAAATGCTAAACTTGTAGCTTATCAGCGCGCAACGCAGTTCAAATAGCTTAACATATGGATGTGAAACCGATGTAGGATTTACGCACATACTATATGACTGGAAATTTCAGTATATGTATTCCAGTGTTATATCCCGTATTCAAAGTTATCCATCTGTATATAACTGCACACCACACACAATTTTGTGCATGTAATTTGTTTTATACTTGTAATGCAGGACAAATTCAAATGAAACAATGAAGAAAACAATGCAAAAAGCAGATTAATAACTCTAAAAATATCAAACAACATAGCACATGTTAATAAATTCATAATAAAAGAGACAGATCGACCAAAAATGAACATTATGTCATCATTTACTCGCCCTTATATTGTTCCAAACTCGCGTGAATGTCTTTTTTTTTCGTACTGAGCACAAAAGAAGATACTTTGAAGAATGTGGGCAACCGAAGAGTTTCTAGTCAAAAGAGACTCACATATTCTTAAAAAAAACATCTACTTTTGTGTTTAGAAGAAATAAATTAATACAAGTTGATGAAAATTATGACAGAATTTTTATTTAGAGGTGAACTGTCTCTTTAAGTATTGCCACAAGCACATCAGCAGCCAGAAATCGAATTAATTAGCAACAAACCGAATGCATGTATTGTTTAAAGTAGGTTTAGCTACCTCCGGAAGGATTTAGACATGTCTGAGGTTAATTCCTTGCCTGGTGCTCATTTGTAAGTGGTTAGTAGCACCATTAGCAGTGTGCTGTTAAAACTCCCTCCATGATTCAGCAATCATCAGCTATAATTACGTGTTGCACTGTGTATCCAGCAGCTGAAACTCCTGCACCTGTTGAGCACATATGAAGGGGTTAACAGGGCCACTCTTAAATCGATGCTTGCAAACCGATTGTTTGATTGTATATCAACTCTGATTGCATGGACCAGCAAAATGATCTCTGCTTTACTAAAGCGAGCGCATTTCAGTCTTCTTTTTTCTTACACCTTGCCCTCTCTTTCTTTTCTTTTTCTCTCTCCCTCTTTCTCCTGTTTGTCTGTCATGCATCATTTATTGCCGCTGGTGCTCTCTGTCTGGCCGTCTGGTGTTCATTTATCTCCTTCCTGTCCTCATCTCCTTTTCCCTCACCTTCTGTTCTTTACCAACTCCTCACCACTTTCTCCCTGTCTTCCTTTTTCCAATCTACTCTCTGTTCCTCTTGTTGCCTGTAGACATCTCTGTAAGTCTTCTAGCTGTGGTCGTAGGTTTCTGTGGGCTCGCCCTTTTGGTAGTCTCTCTCTTTGTCTTTTGGAAGCTGTGCTGGCCCATTTGGAGAAGCAAGGCGTTCACGTCCAATGCTGACAGCTGTCCGCCGGGGGTGCTGCTCGAGGCCCCCCCTGCACCACCTCCGGTGTCTCGTTCTGTTTCTCCTTATGCTGAGGCAAAAGCCGTTGGAGTTGCAGGACGACAGCCATTGCAAATCCAGCATGAGGATGAGGAGGACAAGAAGTGGAAGGTACCAGAGGTGAAAGTGAACGGCCGCAGTTCGGTTAAGATCCTAGAGGCGGCCATGAAGATCAGCCAGACGTCACCAGATATCCCTGCTGAGGTGCAGCAGGCACTGCGGGACCGTCTGAGCAAGCAGGCCAAAATTCAGCGGCAGACCACTGAACCTACCTCGTCCTCCAGGTGATTTACACACATCTGCATACCTATTAGCTTTCATGATGAATTACATTTGATGCTCGGGTGCACTTTAAATGACACTGCAGAAGAGGGTTAATCACTTCATTATTACCGCTTGAGTGAAGAACTCATCCAGCTAAAACTATATACTTGCTGAAATTGAGAAGATATGCTTATGAAGGGCTGCCTTTAGTGAATGATAAACACGTATTGAGGAGTTTGTGATTCTGCGCGTGTCTTTGATATAGAAAAAAAAAACAGAGCAGCTGTTTTTTTCATTTAGAGATATCCATATTTACAGTATGCTTGCCATGGCTGCCATCCAGCTAGAAAAAAATGGAAAGCACAGCAGGATACTAGCCAATTCACAGCTACTAAGTAGATTCAATAATAGAAAAATACATTTATATTCAGCGCTCAGCATATACGAGTACACCCCTCACAAATCCCTCTTTTAAATTCATATTTTTAATAGGAAGCCATACAATAGTATATTTGTGCATATACTTTATATTAGATCAGTCAGTACTGAAGTCAAATCTGGAGCTCATCTGACAAAATATACAATAACAGCCCAAAAACTAGTAAAGCAAAATGTTTATGTTGTAGAAAAATATTAAATACAAATTTTAAAAAGAGGGAAAATCAATAGAAGCAAAAAAAGTAAAAAAAAAATTGTTTAAATTTTGTAGGTTGTAATTTAGTTTTTCAATATTTTGCTTGAATTTAATTGTATTATCTTTCAATTTCTAAATATGTTTGGTGACTAAAATATTATTTTAATAAATATATCAGTTTAATTAATCTATTTTATCTAAATGCACCAAAATACATTGCCTATATTCACTGAGAAATGGATAAAAATATTAATTTTTAAAATGGGGTGTACTCAGTTATGCTGAGCACTGTACAGCTCTGTTTCTAAGGATTAGGCAACCAACAGCACTGGTGTTTTACAAAATATTTTTTTTAATTAAAGATCATCAATATTTACCACAAGGTATAATTAATACCTAAACCAAAAGCAAAAAACAAAAAGCTTTTTAATAAATTGACTGATAAAAACCAAAAAATAATAATAATTCTGGCAAAAGTGTCCTCCATTGGCACTAAGCAAACTCTTGAAAACAGGTAGAGCATTCAGAACTTACTCAAGCTTGACTTTAGATTTTTGTTCATTCATTCCATACTGCCACTATAATATTCAGGTCAGGACTTGGTGAAGGCCAGTTTATGACACTTAGTGTTGTATTGCTTTTTGTTCAATTCAAATACAGCTTCACTGTTCAAGGGAAGAATGAGAAACATTTATTTATACATTCATTTTCCTTCGGCTTAGTATAATAATAATCCTGATAATCAGTATCAGGGGTCGCCACAGTGGAATGAACCCGTAACTATTCCGGCATATATTTTACATAGCAGATGCCCTTCTAGCCGCAATCCAGTACTGGGAAACATTCATACACTCCCACATTCACACTCACTAAGGCCAATTTAGTTTACCCAATTCACCTATAGTGCATGTTTTTGGGCTGTGGGGGAAACCGGAGGAAACCCACACGAACACGTGGAGAACATGCAAACTCCACACAGAAATGCCTACATGCCAGACTAAGAAACAATTATATTATATATGGTCATTATAGCATTGTTAATCAACTAGTCTACTAATGATGATACACTAATTAACTCTATCAATGCCTGAAAGCAGGTTGTCGCTCCTTTGACATGAGCAGCTCATGATCATTTTCAGTTCGCTGTAAATGATCTACTCGATCTCCATCTCTATAAGTGCTGTAAACTCCAGTTGCTCATAAAAACCATTTGAAAACGGTTTATAAATAGCTTGTCAACGGAAAAAAACAAGCAACTCAAAACAGATTCCAGAACATCTGTTAGCATACAAGAAATAAGTGGTCAAAAGTATCTAGATTTCCATCACATGTTTTCACATGTTCATTATGTTGAAAGATTGGTGTTACTTCTGTTTGCTGCGTACGTCCAATAATCACTACAGCTCACCAATCAGAGCTCTAGAGTCACACTGCCATGGAAACAGCATTTTGCAACCCCAACAATTAAACAATCAGCTCTTCTTCCCTTTGTTTCACATGGCACAGTGTTTAAAGAAAGCAGGGATGTAATTAGTGTTGCCACGCAATAGCGTTGACATGCTGCGACTGTTTGTCCGACTGGGGAAGTGAGGAACAGCTGTGTTCAAATCCTCCTAGAATCCATTACTGACAAACTGTCATTAAAGGTCCCGTGAAGATTAAAATAATGTTTATTAGATGTTCGTTTCAGTCTGTTTTAAGGATATGTATTAGCTAGTGTGCTCGAAATCAGTGACAACATTCACGTTTAGAAGATATAAAAAAAAATATAAACATGTAAAGCTTGCAGTTTGTCACTTCCGCCTAAATCGATCAATGATTTTTATTCATATCACCTCATATCTTCTCATTAAATCTTAACCAATCAAATTATCTGTAGCATCTGACATGCCCCGCCCCCTTTAGGACGCTTGATGTAACTGCTTTCACTTGCAGAGCTGTGATAAAAAGAAACTCTATTGACTGTTTTTTTTTTAAAGGCAAGGAGCTTTTTTATGTCGCACCCTCTTTACATTTTTCAGTTGAGATTACGTCAAACATCAAACAAAAAATCCACGTTTCAAAGCACTTCTCAGGACCTTTAAAACTTCAACATGGTGTAACTCATAACGTGTCTTCGTTTTAATAGGGTGTGCAAAAAGGTGATACTTAAGTGTCTCTGGAAAATACTGTTTGATACATGCCTTGTTTCCTTGTTTGGTATTTATTACATTTTAAATTAAAATACTCAAGAATTCAAGTTCGTTTTTAAACTCATAATATTGAACAGATATATACAATATATTTAATATACAAAATACATTAAAATGGGCTAAAATGCAAAGCTAGATTCTTTAAATGGTTATTTCATGGTATACTGCTCACTAAAAAGAGCTGAACTTCTTGGTAAAGTGGACAGTTTAGCTTTTACTAATGAGATAATGCCCTGCTGAAGGTTTTTAAAATCATTTTGGAACCAAAGATGTATGAAATGCCATTGTTATGTAACTCTGTACGGTTTTATATAGCCTCGAGTGAAAACTTCTTAATGATTTGCAGTCACAACCCATTAAGAGCAGTAAAAATGACTTTTCTTTCCACATATCGAGAAAATATCTTCATTAAACGCCTTTAGTACTTCAGCTGGAAATCTGGTCCATTGATAAAGCGCTAATACCACTGTATGCATGAGCATGTGTTTTGTTATTCATCCCTGCGTATCATAAATGGACTTCTTTCCGCAGTAATATCAAAAAGACAAGGTTTATACAGCTTTGTAGCTTATGTTCTGCAACAGGTGTCTGTGCTAATAAGACTAGAAGTTTTCTTGTATCTTAAATGGGAGAGAAAGACTCCGATTTGTGAATTCTGGCACTGGCTCACAGGCAAATTCATTGCGGCTGGCAAGATATTTCAGAAACGCTGCCATCAAAAACTGGATTTCGAAAGAAGTCCGCTTCAAAACATGCGAAGACAGCGGTTAATTACTGTCTGTCTGCAGTTTATCATTACATTGTGTTGGGATGTTTGTGCAAATTGCAGGGCATGATGTTTAGCAAACATGAGCAGGTGACGGACAAATTAATACCGATGATGTATACTGAAAAATCGATTTTTTTAACTTTGAAATTGATTTTAGTAAATACTATGATTACTACTAAATAACAGGTTCAAGCTATATATTCTATGACTTTTTTGTTGCATGATATCAATGTCATATGTTTGTTGTCATTGTCCTAAAGGTGGTAGTTGCTAGGAAACACCAAGGATTACAGAACTATGATTTCCACATAAGAGTTAAGTTGAGTGTTGACAATGTGATTTCTAGTGAAGAATATATAGCCTTGGCTATTTTGATGAAATATAGTGAAGTCTACAAAGTGGCTAAAAATGGAATAGAAGTGTTTATGAAGGAACATGCCATACTACAGTGCTTGGGAGCAACAAATAACAATAACTTGACTTCTAGTTGATGATTTGGTATCAGAAGTGGTTAATATGAAAGGCAAAGGCCTCTAGATTATGCTTATTTTACCAAAATAAAACTTGATCATGCCTTGATCTTTAATTATTTAATTAGGACAGTAAGGTCTGACTTTGCTTAGACAAAAGTCTTGTCACTTAACAGAAATAATGTACAGTATAGAATCTGAAGTCATGGTGCAGTGGAAAAGGAATGAATATTGTGTACGACTCCCATTCATCTTGGAGGACTGCATTCATACATCTCTGCAATGACTCAAATAACTTGATGGATTCCCAGAGTTCATCAAGATTCTTTGGATTCATTTTCAATGCCTCCTCCTTCATCTTACCCTAGACATGCTCAATAATGTTCATGTCTGGTGACTGGGCTGGCCAATCCTGGAGCACCGTGATCTTTTTTGCTTTCAGGAACTTTGATATGGAGGCTGAAGTATGAGAAGGAGCGCTATCCTGCTGAACAATTTGCCCACTCCTGTGGTTTATAATATGTGCAGCACAAATGTCTTGATACATTTGGCTGTTGATGCTGTCATTCACTCTTCAGATCTCTCAAAGATCCCATACTGAATGTAATACCAAACCATGATATTCCCTTCACCAAACTTGACTGATTTCTATAAGAATCTTGCGGCCATGCGGGTTCCAATAGGTCTTCAGCAAGTTATTAATTGTTGCTCTTACAACTGGGATTGACAAGACTTTTGTCAGGTAGTGTAGTTTGCTATTGGTTGATCTCTTGTGAGTGACAATCTTGTGCCATAAAGACTTCATCAGAGAAAAGAAATAATGTTTTTGCCTGAGGTGGGTGTGTGTGGGGGGTGTATAAAGACAAATACACACATAAATATATGGCAGAATATATATTATAATTATATTTGTCAATTGTTAGTACATTATACATTATAATAGTGATTTAAAAATCTATTAACCAATTCAAAATACTGTTTTATGGTTTTAAATTACATAATTAAACCTATTTTAAAATATATGGTCCTCATGTTGCTACATTGTTAGTAGCTTTATTGTTCAAAAGAGAAGCTTAAATAGTTCAATCTGACAATTTCCCAACACAAGAACGATCAAAAAAATGAACCAATATTGTTTAAAGTGGCATGAAGCAGAAGAAAAAGTAAAGTAAGAGAGGACTTGGATTATTTCCACTTGACTCTATAGCTATTTGCTATTTCTGTGTCAGTTTTAATTTCACAGTAACTTAAATTCATGATAAGTAAGTTCTTCTCCCTTCATAGGCACAATTCTTTCCGCCGACACCTGCCCCGGCAGATGAATGTGACCAGTGTGGACTTCACTATGGACACTCTACCTGTGCGCCAGTCTTCTGCAGTCAGCATCGGCCGTATCAAACCTGAACTGTACAAGCAGAAGTCTGTAGACTCTGAAGAGGGTACGAAGGAGCCGGTGGAGACGTGCGGAAAACTGAGCTTTGCTCTAAGCTATGACTATGAGGAACAAGCTCTTGTGGTTCGCATTCTCAAGGCCCTGGACCTGCCCGCAAAAGACTTCACCGGTACCTCAGACCCTTATGTGAAGATATACCTGCTTCCAGAGCGCAAAAAGAAGTTTCAGACGAGAGTCCACCGTAAAACCCTCAATCCCACATTCGACGAGGATTTCCGTTTCCCTGTGGAGTACAGCGAGCTGTGTAATCGCAAGCTGCACTTCAGCGTGTACGACTTTGACCGCTTCACGAGTCATGATATGATTGGTGAGGTGGTGGTTGATAACCTGTTTGAGCTGTCTGATCTATCACGCGAAGCCGTGGTTTGGAAGGACATCCTTGCAGCCACTACAGTAAGTTCATAATTCAATAATAATTCATAATTCAACAAGACCAGATCAATGGCAGGGTTGTTCCCCATTTAGAGTTGAAGCTCTTAGAACGAGAACGTGTTTGAAATTCTAAGCGCCTCATGCTGAGTTCAGACTGCATGATTTTCAAAGTTGTCATGCCACAGATGTTTTCACACTTCATGACTATCTGGGGTGGCGTTTCATCGCTGCTGTGTTTACACTGCAAGATGGATTGGCGACAGGAGGTTTCACACTGCATGACTTTACAATAGGAAGCATCGCCAGCAACTTTGTCCAAACTACGTTTCAAAACCTAAAGCACGTAGTATATGTTTTGTTATTAACTACATAATGAGAAAGAAGCAATTAAAGGGGATAGAAAAATGTACATATTTTAGCGTGCCAAATATCTCACGGGCATCAGCGACTCTTCAGTGATTCTCTCAGATTGCGTCTATGATAGTTCACACTGTGTGATTGTTACCTGTGTGAACGAGCGCTGATTTGCTTGTGATTTCAGGCATTTGTCTGCGATTTCTCAAAACTTCGGCAAGTTAAAATCGGGGCTAAAGTAATGCAGTCTGAACTTGGCATTAATGTGAATTGAGTTTGAGATTTCAAAGATGATGCAGAATTGCAATTCAAAATGTCTGCTCAATGCAAAGTTTGATTGGCTGAAATTAAAATAAATTCTTATTTTGGATGAACTGAAATTCAAAGATTTCCCAGTAGTGGGTTGCAGGTGGAAGAGCATCCGCCCCATAAAACATATGCTATAAAAGACTAAAGGCTGATTTATACTTCTGCGTCATGCGTACACGTATCCGGTGCAACCTCCGTGCAGGCGCATAGCCCTCGCCATAGCTGAAGCCAACGCTTACGCTTACACCTCTCAAAAAATGTAACTACACATCCGAACGTCGCCTAGCACAAGCTCTGTGATTGGTCGGCTTGGTAGCATTGAAGAGCGTGGACGATGCTGAGAGCCACGAGCCAGATGGAGTGAGTGTTTACTAGTGTCCTGTGTAGGAGCTCTAGATGGACTCTTTTGTTTTGTATTTACCTTATGATTAAAGTTGTTGCACGATTGAAGTCGTTTGCCGATTCCCTCTACTGAATGAGCGACTTTTAGCTACTTATAGCATTCAGAAAAAACAAAACACCCAAGAAGAAACTCGACACAGAGGAACATAAAAACCTCACTGCCAGCTAGTGTTTCGGATTTGTAAGTGCAGAGGAACACAAACAGCGCAGAAGTATAAATGCATGACTACACGCAACGCAGGCATTGTAGGTCACACCAATCACTCGACGCAGAGGCATAAATCAGCATTAAGCTGAAGGAAAATTAATGAATGAAATTCAAAGAAAGAAATTGAATACTGCACAGTAATTTACTGTAAACTCTTAATGTTGGCATGCCAAAAATAGTTTGAGAAAGAAAGCAGACATAGAAAGAGATACGATATACAACACGATTATGTTTATATTTAAATGATCATTATAAGTGTGTTACATGTCCTGCATTTTCTTTTGTAATTCATAATTAAAACCAGTACATTCCTTACCCAATCATTCCAAAACAACCCCCTATGGAGTGCTGCCAATTCAATTTTGTGAGTGTAATAAAGATGTAAATATTACAATTCATGACATTCCTGTAGGATGTGCCAATAGCATCTAAATTACGGATAAATTAAGGATATTTGTATTGCAAATGTACTAACTGATCCCATAATTCCATTTCAATCACACTGAGCTCAAAGCAAAATCGTCTGCATGGGAATGAAGGCCTCATTAACAGATAGATTGATCTGTTATGCAAAGCCAGGTGTGAGGGAGGGCTCATCTTCAAACTGACTCAGGGCACCCACATACCCCTTTCTAAAATAGATACAATTGCCAGTTTCCAGAGGCACAGGAAGCATGATTATCAAGCCAGAGCCTTCAAAAGACAGCCATGACTAATCCAACAGGTGTGGAATTGAGTTTGTCCTGCTGCAGAGTACAACACGACATGTTACAGGCAGTACTGTACATTTCAGGAGGAACCCAAGCTATTTCTGCACAAGTATTATTTTAGGTTCCTTTAGTCAGATAGGCCCTCATGATAATGAAGCCCACTCATTACGCCTCAGTTAAAATATCAGAGCTTATGTAACCAGTTTATAGGGGACTTTAAGCATGTAAAAGCATCTTTCATCTGCAAAACGCACAAGATATTTTAAGGAATGCTTCAATTGTTCTACTCTATAATGACAGTCAATAGGATACAGAGAAACTCTAATATAAAAATATCTCAAATAAAAATGTGCATATCTAAAAAGAAAATCTATTTTAGAGTCCATTGGGGCTCTTTTGAATACAATTGGCTTTCATAACATGAACAAAACCCGCAGTTCTGGGTGAATTAGCCCTTTAATATTTAGTAATATAGACGTGTTTAGCCTTACTCAATCTAACTGGAAGGCAGGGAAAAGCGATGTGCACTTAGGTTAAATGCTATCGGCAACTGTTCAAAGTAAATGCAACATTAAACCTTACAGTAGTTTAAGCTATAAGGGATTTCTCATAGGACTTGAAGCATTAAAGCTTAGTTTAGGTGGTAATTTATGGCAATTTGTCATGTATTATTACATATATACTGACTTGTTCAACTGCTAGGCGATCTTTAAAAGGTAAAAGCATTGTCTGTCATTTTCACCTTATTTACAGTGACTCATATACATTTAATAATGATGTCCCACTGCCTTCCTGCTACAGAGAAACCGTGAATGGTGACAGCGTTTCATTTGGTCTGTGAGTCATTCCTGTTTAGGAAACAGAATCTCCTCCTCCTGCTTGTTTGACGCATCAGTCCCTTTCAGGCTCATTAGTCTCCTGATTGTGTTGTTTTCAACATATTTATCCCTTTTCCTGTTGCTTGCTTGTTTGGGATGCACATTAAGGTGCCTGTCAATTCTGTGTTTTTTTTAACAATTGGATTACCAACATTCCTCCCCATTCTTTCCCACTGAACACAAAAGTATTGATGTGTAGTGTTGGATTTGTAGTGGAGAGGTTTCGACCTGTTGTGAGAGTATCGCAACTGCCCTTTAGGGAGAAAAACAATGCAGACACTCCAGACCAGCTGCTCTTAGACCCCGACTGTGGAGAGAAGTAGCTTGTAGTTCTCAATTCCTAAAATAGTCAGAGCCATAGATTGCAGCCTTGCTCCGTTACACTTCCGACTGCATATTGAAACCCTCTATTTTATCCTAAGCTGACGTTTGAAGGTCTAATTCTGTTCTCTGTTTTTTGGAACATTGCTGTGGTGGTAAAAGGGCATCCAGATCTGGAGGAGGGGAAGTTGGGCAGTCAAAGCAGGAAGGGTATTATTGCCCCAGAAGATTTGCAAAATGCTTTTGGACACAAACGCCGCTAGAAGACGTGACTCCTGAATTAGCCCATGGCTTTCTGTATTCAGCACTTGTACTGAGGACAAGAGCAGTTGGATGTGGGGATAGGGTATGACAAAGAGAGCTCTGACGTCAGACTACACATTTGTTTTGATATGGACTCAGTGTTGAAGCACACTGACACCAAGATAACCAAAAATATAAGTAATACTAATTTCTTACATTTATATAGTGCTTTTTTCTGGACGCTTTACACATTTTAGGGGTCCTCATTCACGACCAGTGTGCAGCATTCACCTGGCAGCCATATTGCTGGATATACATATGCTAGGTTTTTTAGCGACCACAGAGAGTCAGGACCTCGGTTTACGTGTCATCCGAGCAGTATAGACTCCCCATCAATATACTGGGGCGTTAGGACCCACACAGACTGCAGGATGAGCGCCCCCTGCTGGTCTCACTAACTCCACTTACAGCAGCAACCTAGCTTTCCCATGTGGTCTCCCCTATGGGAAAGCTAGGTTATACTTATGGCAGGCAATATTTAGCACTTTGGTCATGTATTTCACTAATTTGGCAACTGTCAAACGTTATCGGGGAAACAGGTTGAATTTCCGCTTAGTAAAAAAACTGTTTTCCATTTGGGATGACACCAAATACATATACTATGCCAAGTGCCACTTGGGACGCAGCTTATATAACTATATTAGCATACACAAGCAAGATTGTTCTGTTTAAAACATACAAATTATGTATAGTTGTTGGCTGCTCAATAAAGATGGATTCAGATTGACTGACAGTGTGTTTAAATATAAATATTAATGCAAATACACCAGTTACGTACATGTGAATATGTTTGTTATTATGCTTTTTTTCTGTAAAAATTCTTTAATACATGCCAACAAATAATTCACAATATTGTATAATTATTAGGGATGCTCCGATCGATTAGAAGGAGACTGGAATCGGCCGATATACACATTTTATGACTCGATCAGTACTCGCTTATCTGGCTGATTACATGTACCGATCGTAAGTGTTAGATTATGGGTTTACAAGCAGAGGAAGATGCATTTTAACTTCTTATGCATTAAAAATCCACTCTAAACTCTTCATTGAGACATGTTGAATTATTCTTCCATCATTAGCAATGTTTCCAAATTGCATTTTTCTCACCAAATATTTGATCTGTTTAATCTATTATTTTCTGTAAAGCTGTTTCTGACGTTGACTTGTCCGCACTAAATGGTTATAACAGACGTGTTTAAGGGATTATAAGCAACATCCTTCATTTATTCTTTTGGAAAAGGAGGAAGCTCCACTTAAGTATCGTGCTTAAGGGAAAATTTGCTTTATGCAATGTTAAAGTTATATAAACCTTGAAGAATCAGAATCGGTACCCGATATCGGCTCCAAATATCCTGAGTGTAGCACCTTTAATAATTACAATATTGTAGACTGATGTTACATTAAAATTCATTTATAAAATGTTTTAATATTGTTTTTATTTTGCACTGACAACTAAATTATTTTTTCATATTATTTTTTCAATAACCTCTTTTTTATCAACTTTAGACGTTTATTAATTGTAAAATAGAAAATGGTTATTTTAAATTACATAATATTTGTAATGTATTTCACTGTGATTTATAAATATTATAAATATTATTGACTGATAATAAAGTAATACATTAAATCAATTAAATGTTATAAAAATATTTAAAAAGCATTGTAAAACAAAAGAGAAGCCATAAAAATAACTCTACGCAATCAATAATACAGAGAAACTGCATGTACTGTGCTGAAAACATCAAAATGGTGCGCCTGAAATTTAAACACAGGAAAATATAGTATGACAGCGTTTAAGCCTGTACGTTTCTCCCTGTTACGCAATATGTTTTTAATCTTTACTTGGACGGATTAATCACTATCTTTAGCTGCCTCTGAAAGAATAATGGCTGGCTTATTCCAGTACAGAGAAGCTGTAAATAACAAAATAACCACTGGCCTTTTAGAATAATCTTTACCGCCTCTGCAAAGCTAATAAAGGTCAGGGAAGCTAGATTTGTCTCATTCAAAACTGAGTTATTTAATCGCACTAGAACCAGCCACCCAAACGATACATCTCACAGTAGCCAAAACACACAGACACAGCAGTCCTCTCAGATGAAGCTTGCTTCTTTAAAAGAGTCGTAATTCTCTCCACTATGTAGCTGTTTCCTTTTCCTGGAGATGTTTTTGGTTTTGCTGACGGTTTTAAAGAGAAATATCCCCTCTTTAGATTAAAAATAGACTTTGTTTAAACCTGATGAGATAATAATTGTCCAATCTGGCTCAAGCTATGTTTGAGTTGTCATCGACAAGGAAAATAAAAGACTATCTGGAGGGTCAATCAATAAGGGTTTTGTTTGCAAGGCTCTCTGAAGAGACTCTTAGGATGAAAATAATCGTACAATACATACCGAGGATCATGCCTTCGCTGCAGATTGTTTAATCAATACCTTAAAATGTTATTTTAGGACACTGATGTGCAGATGCTACCTTAGCTATCCCATTGCATCACAGTTAAATCAAGCTGATTTTCTTTTTAATATCTTTTGGTACTTTCTTTCAGGAGAGCGTGGATCTGGGTGAAATAATGTACTCCCTTTGCTATCTTCCCACGGCTGGACGCATGACCCTCACAGTCATCAAATGTCGCAATCTAAAAGCCATGGACATAACTGGCTATTCTGGTCAGTGCTAACCCTCACATTCTGTCTAGTTTGACTGTTATTCTTTATGTTTGAGGCCACTTTTCAAAAATAACATCTTAAATTGGATAACTTTTCCATTGTACAAACTTTTTTTTTACATTAATAAATCCATGATCAATGAAAAGTTCTTGGAGGAGCTAAAATGGTTCTTCTATGGCATAAGAATAAACACTTTTTCTTAAGAGTTAATGTGCCTGACCACCAATTGCTAAACATTTTATTAATATTTACTTTACATTATGTTTACTTAACATAAAACTGAAGTTGCTAGTGATGAATATGTATTTGTCTGATTCATGTCACCTTGCAGAATTACAAAAATAAAGCATACTTTCAATAAAACTTTGCCTAAAGCTCATCACATTTAAGAAAGAAAGCATTACCAGTGAAAGATTCCACTAATTCTATTAAAAAATCACCAATATTTATACTTGTTTTACCCTGATGTATGTTTCTGTGTATCATGGCAAGTCACATTTCAAGCATATCTTGATTTCTTTTCTCATGTAACACACCAGCCATAACCTCACACCTGCTAAACACCCTCTGGCTCAGCCTTCCTTCAACAGAAGCCCTGCCCCAATCTGTCACAATTGTTTGAGCTTGAGAATAAAGGGCGAATTATGATTTGAGAGTGTCTGCATGGATTTAGATGGGTTTAGATTTAGTTAATTTAATAGTTAGCTAACTTAGCTTAAATACTTTTTACATTTCATTTATTGTGGTTAGGTTGTGTGCGGCTACATGACTTGAGTAAATGGTGTATGTTGCTCTTATTATTGAGCAACTGTTGTATTTATGTCAGTCCTGTGACAAGTAAAGTTGCCTATTCAATGTTTTTACTATCTACTACCTATTTCAAACTTTCAAAGATACTATAGAGCTCATATTACTCACTTTTTATGAGTAATTAGTAATTTTATGCAAATGTATTGATAAATGTAAGGTCGACTTTTCCTATTTTTTTGTGGTGTACCATAGCCATAGAATTCAGACAGTCTTTACTCAACAAATGGAATGAAATACCAATATTTCCGTTATTTATCCCTTATCTCTTAATACACTTATTTATAAAAACTGTATATTTTTTTAATACATCCTGTTGATCTGATTATATATTGCAATTGCCTGGACATTTTTAAGAATCATTAAGAGGTGGTTAAAATTTGTTCATTAGTATTGCTAAGCTACTATTTCTGAACCACATTTCCCCAGTCATATCATTGTGTATTTAGAAAGTGCGAAATTTTGTTGAGAGTTAATGTGTTTTAAAATTTGTTCACAATCAGGTCACATATGAGTATGGAAAGAAATCAAGCTGACAAATCAATGCCAAGTATGTTATTTGAGATATTAAAATGCCTGCGGCATTCGTCAGATCTCAAGTAGACAGAACATGAGAGTTCAGAAAACAAATAAGAAATAAATCTTGAAACTTCTTTCCACAGATCCATACGTTAAAGTAGCCCTCATATGTGATGGTCGGAGGCTGAAGAAGCGGAAGACGACCACCAAAAAGAACACACTCAACCCGGTCTATAACGAGGCCATCATTTTCGACATCCCACCTGAGAATGTGGAGCAGGTCAGCCTGTCAATCACGGTGATGGACTACGACAGGTCAGTTCCTGCTACTTAAGAAGAATAACCATCTTCAAAACATGCTACAGACAAATTATTCTGACATCAGGGATAATGATAGTAATTATACCATTAAGTAAGCTAGCATGCAGTATTTGCAGCTAACATCTTAATAGAGATCTTTCAGTTTGGTTTTTATAAATCAGCTGTACATATTTATAAAATCAGACAGCTACGCTGTAATTAAGAGCAGATTATGCCATCAAAGCATCTCTCAGCCATCAAGGAGTAAAACACAGTATATATGCATATGAATAGGGAGCCATTTATGCACTGATGATTTCCACATGCACAACCTGGCCATGCCACTCCATAAAGAAAATTATTTGTATTGGGTTTCTCTTTCAGAGTTGGACACAATGAAGTGATAGGGGTGTGCAGGGCGGGGCCGGATGCCGAGGGTCTTGGAAGAGACCACTGGAACGAGATGTTAGCCTATCCACGCAAGCCCATCACCCACTGGCATGCACTATGTGAGGTGAGAGACTTGAAATGGCTTATTTGAGTTCATTAAGAATGTGTTCCATTATAGTGTTGTCTTTATGGCATGCAACATTGAAACGATTTGGATTTTGAGGAATTATTGACCACTGTTTTGAAGATTTTAATATATTTAAGTAACATTCTAATAATACCTAAAAGGTTTGTTGATGCTGTGAGATTATTTCATAGTAAATAAACTGTGACATTGGACCACAAAACCATAAGGGTCCATTTTTTCCAGACTATTAGATTTATAAACCATCTAAAAGCTGACATTATTATAAAAGTAATAAATAAAAAAGTTTTCTATTGAAGTATTGTTTGTTAGGACAATACTGAACAATACTGAATGATGGGCTTCAAAAACTAAATGCAGAGAAAATATATATATTGGCCCCACTAGAAAAGTATAGTATTGTGATTCTATTCATTTCACTATAAAAAATGATTTCTGAAACATATATTTTTACTGGCTCCAATAAATTTAACAGTTTGTGTATATTGAGCCCTGATACAGGGAAAGTAAGTCTAATATGTCTTAAATTCCTGACATTTTAATTGTATCTGTATCTGTTCTTGCAGTGGCCAGGACGGGCATCCAGCTTTGAGAGTCAAGGATCATGTCCATCTCCAAAACCACCACAGACCCCTTAACATCCTGGAATCCTTTTCAATCCTAAGTGCAAAACACACTGCGTTTGTATCATTTATAGGGTATATTTTTCACTAGCTGTAACTTGTCAGGTTGCATTTTTAGTAAGGACTAAACAGTACTGGTATCCCTGCTACAGAAACAATCAAGTATTCAAATCCTCAATTTGTCTTACATTGTGCTCTACTGGTGCTGAGTTTCTGAGCTCCTAAAACAATATTTTTCAGGTCGCTTTGTAGCAGACAGTCAAATGATATAAAGCTTCTTGCTGTTTGACAGTATAATGACGCCATGTAATTTTACAGACACATGAAATGACAGTGCTTATCATCTCTAGGCATTGAACGCTTCAAATACATGTTCCTATTTGGTGAAAATATTTAGCATATTTGATTGAGGGTTATGAAAAAGAAGAGGCGTTCAAAGATGCAATCAAGATCTGTTAGATATGGCTAAACATCAATCACAGTATCACATGACCAAATAGAAATCAATAGAAATGTCAACACGTATTCCCTTATTAATCAACCCTCTTTTCTCTCTCTTTATAAAAAGAGGCTTTGTGAGGATAAAGCTCTGTAAATATTACAGTATATATAAATAATATCCCTTATACTAATACCATATCTACTAATCATTATCTTAGGCTGATTATATACTGTATATAATGATTCAAATATTAAAACTAAATGAAGATCTATTTAACTCAATATATGAATCAATTTAAATAATGTGTTCATTAAACTTGAACACTTTTAAGTTAATTAAAAAACGACATAGATAGATAGATAGATAGATAGATAGATAGATAGATAGATAGATAGATAGATAGATAGATAGATAGATAGATAGATAGATAGATAGATAGATAGATAGATAGATAGATAGATAGATAGATAGATAGATAGATAGATAGATAGATAGATAGATAGATAGATAGATAGATAGATAGATAATTCCTTTTTGATTTGATCCTTAAAACCCCTTTTACTTCATAGCCCACAGATAATACTACTGTATAGCACAGGGATGGGCAAACTGGGATGGGTGTCCTGCACAGTTTAGCTCCAACTCTAATCAAACACGCCTGCTTATTGATTTCTAGTGATCTTGAAGACACTGATTGGCATGTTCAGGTGTTTTTGATTAGAGTTGGAGCTAAACTATGCAGGACACCGGCCCTCCAGGACCGAGTTTGCCCACCCCTGCTACAGCAGAATAAGAAACTGGTCACACTTTACAATACTAATACTACTAATACAATAATATATGAATGATACTTATACAGCATTTATTAATCATAGTCTAACATTTACTAATGCCTCATTAAAATCCAAATCCATGCTTGTTAACATTAGTTAATGCACTGTGAGTTAACTAATGAGTAACAGTACTTTCATTAACTAACATAAACAATTGCTGTAATGTATTGTTCGTCGTTTGTTTATGTTAGCAAATGCATTAAGCAACATTAAATAATACAACCTTAATGTAAAGTGTCACCAAGAAGCTTTATATAGACAATAAAATAAGATAAATGAAGGTAAAAATCTTATGATAATATGCAAATTGCCCCAGAAATTAGTTATTTTTCTAACAAATAAAAATAGGTTTTATTTTTCTTTGCTTGCATGTGCTAATAATAGTCAAATAGGACTGCACAGTAGCCAAATGATGTAGCCTGTTAGTGTTGATTTGTTTGTAGTCTAGATATATTATTCAATTATTTTAAAGCTGAAGAAAAGATTGATTCCCAGTATTATCAACACACAGGGTAACATTCATATATATATATATATATATATATATATATATATATATATATACCTGCTACAGAGCTATTGATGCATTATTGAATTGTCAGTGCTTACGGAACATGCAAATACTTTTTCTTAATGGTTTTGAAAACTTAAACAGGTAAAAAGCATAAAATAAATAAATAAAACAGTAATTTAAATGTTATTAGAGTACATTTTCTGCTAGAAAAGTGCGTGTAGTTTCATAAAGATACTATAAATACTTAAATCAGGCGAATATTAGCAAAAACACACGACATGCACATCCGTCTTCAGATGACAGTCAAAAGGAAATCAATGTCAACACATTATTAATGATATAATAAAAAAAGAGGAAAATGATGCGCTTTCTTCAAAGCGAGTCAAGTATGAACCGCGGTTCAAGGTAAAACTGCCATTCAATAAATCAATAACATCTAAAACAATTACTGCCATAGAAATATCTCATGAACGACAACAAAAAAGAGGTGAACACTGCCAATCGCACAAACTGTAGGTGCAAATAATGAAACATTCCCATTTAAGAAGGATGAACAATAGAGAAGCCCTCATTTGCCTTTCATCCGAATGAAATGTGTCTGTTGATTAGTAACTGTACTGGTCGTGTTTTACTGTATGTCAGAGAATTATTATTGTGGAAATCATCCAGCATGTACTTAGTTGGTATGCTAATAATATGGTACACACCATGGTAATTGCACACCTAAATGTTTGAAAGCTGGACTCTCTTGATAAGGTTTTCGGAGTGCTTTTCTGGTGTGTCCATCGAGTAATAATGCAATCATGGCAATTACACAAACGGCTGTGTACTGTTAACTTTGATTTGCACATGAGGACAGTGCTTCTGCCCCAGAGCTCGGTGGGAGTGATAGAACAAAGATGAAGTATTCTTGTAGCATGATGATACCAGTACATTAGATATTTATTAGAATTGTAGACTCTATTGTTTATGAAAGGTATTATTTTTGAATCCGGGAGTATGTGTGTGTGTGTGTGTGTGTGTGTGTGTGTGTGTGTGTGTGTGTGTGTGTGTATACTTGACGAGCTCTTTCAATTGTTATATTGTTAAAGTGCATTTCTATGGATTGTTTGGTGATTGGTTTGTACTATGGGCATATTCGTGATCTTAAACAACTTTGTACACAATTTGCATATATTGTGTAATGGCTTCTTAAAATTGTGCAACTGTTTGGATTAGCACTCAACCTCCTGAGCTGTCAATTAACTGCTTCTCAGTGATTCTTTGTCATACTTGCACCTGAAACGATCGCTGTATGTTCTGATGTGTACAGATTGTGATAATTTTTGTAAGGAAAAAAAATGCAGTAAATATTTGAAATTTTACTGGATGTTTCAAATGTATTTTAACTAAATAAATTCTGAATCGTCAGTGTATTTTGCAGTGTGTTATATATTAGAAGTCAACTAAAAGCAAGTGAAAGTACATTAAAATATTCACTTAATTAGGTACACCTGTCCAACTGCTCGTTAACGCAAATCAGCCAATCACATGGCAGCAACTCAATGCGTTTAGGCATGTAGACACGGTCAAGATGATCAGCTGCAGTTCAAACCGAGCATCAGAATGGAGAAGAAAGGTGATTTAAGTGACTTTGAACATGGCTTGATTGCTGGTGCCAGACGGGCTTTTCTGAGTATTACAGAAACTGCTGATCTACTAGAATTTTTTACAGGAGGTTTACAGAGAATGGTCTGAAAAGGGGGAAATTCTGTTGGTGTAAATGCCTGGTTAATGCCAGAGGTCAGAGAAGAATGGCCGGACTGGTTCGAGCTGATAGAAAGGCAGCAGTAACTCGTTACAATAGAGGTCTGCAGATAAGCATCTCTAAACACAACACATCGAACATTGAAGAGGATGGGCTACAGCAGCAGAAGACCACATGGGGTGTCTCTCCTGTCAGCTAGGAACAGAAAACTGAGGCTGCAATTTGCACAGGCTCATCAAAATTGAACGATAGAAGATTGAAGAAACGTTGCCTGGTCTGAAGAGTTTCTGCTGTGACATTCGGATTGCAGGGTCATAATTTTGCATCAACAACATGAAAACATGGATCCATCCTGCCTTGTATCAACAGTTCAGGGTGGTGGTCTTGGTGTAAGGGTGTGGGGGATATTTGCTAAGCACACTTTGGGCCTTTTAGTACGGAGCATTGTGTCTTTGCCACAGCTTACCAGAGTATTGTTGCTGACCATGTCCGTTTAGGTACCAATTCTCATTATTAATTAACTAGTGACTTATTACTTGCTTTTTATTAAGATATTGTTTATTAAGGTTTGTTACTACTAATAAAGCACATATTCTGCATCATCTCTAAACCTACAAAAAACTATAGAAAGACTAAAACAGCATTAACTAACTAGTGGCTTGTTACATGCCTATAATGACGTTATTGGCTGTACTTGTAAAGCACATATTCTGCATGATCTTATTCCACATCTCAAATCCTACCTAAACCTAATACTACCTAAGACCTACCTAAACTTAATACCTAAACAAAACCGCTACCTTAATAACTGTTAATAAGCAGCACATTTTGAGGCTCTTAATAATAGTGAGAGTTGTACTTTAAAATAAAGTGTGTCCATCATTGCTGTATCTCCATCTTCCAAAAATGTTTTCAAATGCTGCCGGAGTACAGAAATTAGTTTCTAGACTCAATCCAAACACCTCTGTTATGTTAATATTGCATTCTACAGTGTGTTGTACATTAAAGTTAGTGTCAACTAAAGGAAATTAAAGTACACTAAAACAGAATTAAATTCCGCTGGGTAAATTTCACAATCAATAACAAGGAAATGAAAAGTAAGACATTGAATTAAATAAAACAATGACTAAAACAGCAATCCTTGAGTAACATATTTCAATAAACATTATGGTAATACTTTCGTTTAAGTATCAATTCTGATTATTATTGAACTAGTGGTTTATTACATGCCTATTATTATGTTATTGGCTGTACTTATAAAGTATTCTGCAAGATCTTACTCTACATTTCTGATCCTACCTAATATCTAAACCGAACAGCTACCCTAATAACTATTAATAAGCATCAAATTTGGAGTTTAAGGCAATTAATAGTGAGGATTTTACTTTAAAATAAAGTGCATCTATCATTGCCATATTTAATTCTTCCAAAAATGTTTTCAAATGTTGCTGGAGTACAGAAATTTCTTTCTAGGCTCCA